CCCCCGGGGGAACCTCTGAGGCACTTCCTCCGCTGGGCCCCGCCGGTGGCCCCCGGGAGCTGGCCCGAGGGAGCGCCCGTCTCGTCATGCCCGGTCTGGGAGGGGAAGGGGCTCTGGGCCGGTGGGGTTGTACCGGGGGAGAGCTTGGCAGGGTTTGGAAAGGGAGGTCAGGAGCCCTCCTCCCACAACAAAAAACCGGGCTCTTCGCAGGTTTACTGACAGGGCAGGTGATAAAAGTAACTTGCTGCCCTTGTGTCTGCCTTTGGTACAATCGTGAATCGCTTTGGAGCTGCTGTTGCAGTGGTTTGGGGGGGCTAAGATGCTCTTGTACATCTCCTGTTAGTAGTGGCTTCACAGATAAAGTAGGTATTCATAAATTGCTTGGATACAGCAAGCCTGGTCTCATCTAAAGTGGCCCCGTGGTGAGAGTGCCTCATTGAATGCTTAATCAACTGAAAATAGGCGTATCAAAAGATTTATGACTGTTGAAGATGTGTGTGTTGCCACAGCCCTTCATAGAACCTCTGAGAGCATCCCCTCTTCTCAATGATGAGGAAGACCACTTCATTTTGGTCAGAGGAGAAAAATGTAGGGTCAGGAGGACATACCCACTGCTGCTGCATGTGTGTAACAGTTTTCTTCAGTGCATCTGTTATTGTCCTATTAATGCCTGCGTGTTGGAGAGTCAGTGCCAAAGAGAAGTTTAAGAAACGTTGCTACTAGAACATAAGATGTAATGCAGGGATTTCCACATTAATTGTTGTGCAAACGGAAGCTGTAAGACAAATCTCTGTATGCCGGGCATTATGAGAGATGAGTAACCAATGCAGTTGTGTACCCCAGTATGAGATGGGAGGAGGAGTGTCCTACCAGGTTAAAATAGGTACTGCAGGTGCCCAGTCAAAGTACACAGCTTAAGCGTCATTTCTGTGCCGTGTAAGCAAATTGATTCAGTAAAGTCTTTCCCACCTGCTGTGAGTGTGATTTTGATTTGTCAGTGCTGGTAAAAGTAGAGCTAGAATAGCATGTTATTAGAAATAAGTAAGGAATCCATTGTATTTAGTGGTTTCACTTTTCAGTTTTGCATTTGCCATTTTGTTTGGTTTTCATTTTCTTATCTCTTTACCATGAAAGGAAAAGCATTGCAAATGATTACATGAAAAAAATCAGTTTACTGGGAGAGGATTTAAGCAAGCTTTCATTTCTTTATTTGTTTGTTAGTTTGTTTTATATGAATGCCCATGCCTGACTGTAGTCTCTCTTCCTAGAAACCCCAGCTGGTGGCCAGCAATGACCGTTTCTGCCGCTTTCTCGAGGAATATTGCCCTGTTGTGACAGAAACTTACTATCCCACGATTTGGTGCTGGGAAGGCCGGGTGCAGACACTCCTGCGTCCCTTTATCACCTCTAGACCCCAAGTACAGTACAGGAAGTAAGTGGCTTTCTTCTGGAAAGTGATTGATTCAGTAGCCAGCAGTTACCTTACTCTGACTGTGTCACAGCTACTGTCATTGTTCAAGCTTGTGCCCATTTTTTTACTTTATGCCCGCCTTTACAACTCCATCCTAGGCTTGGAACCATCTCTATCCTGGATTCAATATACAGTAGGTTTAAAAGGTCAGGGTTCACAAATGGCCTTATTTTTGCTCAGAGTTTTGGAGCACTGGAATATTGGTGACAATGTAGGAATTGGTGTGGTTATGTATTCACAGGACCACACAATGGTTGAGGTCAGAAAGGACCTCTGGAGGTCACCTTGTCCAATCTTGTGCTCAAGAAGCAGGGCCACCTAGAGCTGCTTGCCTGGGACCATGTCCGGACACGTTCTGAATATCCCTAATGATGGCAACTCCACAACCTCCCTGGGCAACCTGTGCCAGTGCTTGGTTACCCTCCCAGTGAAAAGTTCTTCCTGATGTTCAGAGGGAACCTCCTGTGTTTCGGTTTGTGCCCATTGCCTCTGGTCCTGTCACTGGGCACCACTGGCAAAAGCCTGGCTCCGTCCTCTTTGCAATCTCCCTTCAGATATTTATAGACATTGATAAGTTTCCCCCTGAACCTTCTCTTCTCCAGGCTGAGCAGTTCCAGCTTTCTCAGCCTTTCATCACAGGAGAGATGCTCCAGTCCCTTCATTATCTTTGTGGCACTTTGCTGGACTCTCTCCAGTATGTACATGTCGCCCTTGTACTGGGGAGCTCAGAACTGGACCTGGCATTCCAGGTGTAGCCTCACCGGTGCTGAATTGAGGGGAAGGATCACCTCCCTCAACCTGATGGCGGCACATAATGCGGCCCAGGAGGCTGTTGGCCTTCTTTCCTGCAGGGCTGCATTGCTGGCTCATGTTCCATGTGGTGTCCACCAGGACCTCCACATGCTTTTCTGCCAGGCTGCTTTCCAGACCGTCAGCCCCTAGCCTGCATTGGTGCATGGTGTTGTTCCTTTCTAGGTGCAGGACTTTGCACTTCCCCTCATTGAACTTTATGAAGTTGCTGTCAACCCATTTCTCCAGCCTGTTGAGGTCCCTCTGGATGGCAGCACACCCATCTGGTGTATCAAATATTCTGGTGTTTGAATGCCGTAATGTTGCAGAGATCATGCAGTTACTGTATCTGTCCACTGAACCAACATGTGGCATGGCCGCATGCAGCCTTGTTTTGGATATGTAAGACTTCTGGGACTGTAAGAGTAACTTTTACCTGTGGGGTTTATGTGTTCTTTGATGCCTAAATTCTAAGAGGGGAAAAAACCTTATATTTATTGTTTGTCCTCAGCTGATCTCTGTCACACAGAAATGAGACTTAGTCTGGCAAATGAGGCATTTGGCACGAGACCTAAGGAGAAGTACTTTTATGCGCCGGAACCTGGATGCAGCACAAGTTGTTTCAGCTCTGTTTGCATGGTAGAATAGATTTAGCATTTAGCAGCTTCCCTTAGTTTTAGTAACTAGGAGACATTTCAGTGGTATGGCCATGTCCACTTTTTCTAGCCCTTCTTGTATACTCTCTTATTTCAAGGTTTGTGAGGGAAGAAACGTAGTTCCATGGGGCAATGCTTATTTTGCACCATTTGAGATTGTGTTGGCAGTACACACCAGCATTGCATCTACTTCCCATTACTGAAAAAGGGCAAAGCTGAGCTAATGAGTCCAACAAGGCTGATGAACTTTAAAATCTGGAGTAGGTGCAACCAAGACTTTCAAATGAAAAATCGAATGCAAGGTAGGCTTACATTTTGGTAGTTCCTATACCAACTCTCTTGTTCAATGTCTTCATTGTCAGAGAATAGGGAAGATGTTGTCTTTATAAAAAAAGACTGAAACCTTCTTTTTATTGCTTAATGCATGCTTAGCTCCTTGGGATATTAGAATGTTTCTTGCATTCTTAAGATACATGGTTTAAGAGTGCATTCTCACAACATTTGTGGAGATACAGGGTGAAAGATACAGCAGTGTGTGTCCATGTTCTCCATGTTTAAAACATAACAAAATGCCTTCCATTATTCATACTGCTTCTTTGGATGAAGAGAAAAAAACTGTGATAGATGTTAACACATTGCCCAGTGTGTTATCAAATATTCTCAGATGATCCAAAGGAAAACTACAGTACACAAGCCTATATAAAATAGAAGGCAATGCCAAAAATCACATTAGTTACAAGCTTCCAGTCCATCAGCAGCAATTTGTGTAAAGGCAGCTCTTCGTTTACTGTAAACAGGAATTACTCTGCAAACTGTGCTAACTCGTGTCAACTGGAGGCGTGGCCCTTTCTGAATGATAAGCATGCAAACACACCTAGTTAGGTGTCACTTTTGGTATTAAAAAAATAAAAATGCAGAATTTGTACCTGGTAACTTGTACACTGTAAGCACTCTTAATAGTACGCATGTATTTTTAAATCTAATCAGTGTTCTCTTGAAATGTGCCTTTCAGTGAGCTCATTAAAACAGCAGATGGAGGACAGATTTCGTTGGATTGGTTTGATAATAACGACAGCTTATGTTATCCGGATGCCAGCACAAGACCCACTGTCCTGTTATTGCCTGGCCTGACAGGAACGAGCAAGGAATCCTACATTCTTCATATGATCCATCAAAGCAAAACGCTGGGATATAGGTGCTGTTGTAGTTCACTGCTAGTATTTCGCTGCTTCTAATAAGATCACATATATATGTATGTGTATGTATAAGATACCTTCCTAGAGCAAGTGAGATCTAAAGACATTAGTTTATATAAGAAAGTACCAGGATGATCCGAGGGCTGGAGCACCTCTCCTGTGAGGACAGGCTGAGAGAGTTGGGGCTGTTCAGCCTGGAAGAGAGAAGGCTCTGGGGAGATCTTATAGCGGCCTTCCAATACCTGAAGGGGGCCTACAAGAAAGCTGGGGAGGGACTTTTCATAAGGGCAGTTAATGATAAAACAAAGAGAAATGAGTTTAAACTGGAAGAGGGTAGGTTTAGATTAGATATTAGGAAGAAGTTTTTCACTGTGAGGGTGGTCAGACACTGGAACAGGTTGCCCAGAGAAGCTGTGGATGCCCTCTCCCTGGAAGTGTTTAAGGCCAGGCTGGATGAGGCTTTGAGCAACCTGATCTAGTGGAAGGTGTCCCTGCTGATGGCAGGGGGATTGGAACTAGTTGATCTTTAAGGTCTCTTCCAACCCAAATCATTCTATGATTCTATGATTAGTATAATAACAATAGCGGAATTATCTAACGGGCAGTACATTCGGAAGGGCAGTTCTAGTATCTACAGATGTGCCCCAGAGACTGCAGTGAACGCAAGCTAAGTCTGCACAGGCCTTTGCTGCTGCTTCTTATATTACAATATCAGCATCTGTGTTACCTTTACACTTTTCTAGAGAAGGGGTTTGTATTCAGCTCCAAGAAGGCTCACATGGATGGGTTGCTGGCAGCAGGCCTCGGAGGAGGTCAGCTTCCGAATACCAAAATTGCTTGATTCAGCAGCCTCAAATTTGTGAGTGCAGAAAGAGGAGCTAGCCTACTCTTACCAGTGGTGGTTAAGGAAGAGGTTTGTTGCCTCTTAATTGTCGCTGCTTAATTTAGTTTTTTTATTAAGCATTCTGGTCAGAGTTGGGTCAAATAAGTGGATTAAATGATGAGTAGATTCCTTTATGTAATCATACTGCTGCTGCTGGCCTTTAAAATAAGTTGTCATTGTTCCAGGATGTGTATTTGGAATATTACACTTTGTCTTTGCAGATTGGCTTCTGGTACTGACTATAATAAGCTCTTCAAATATGTATATATGAGCTTTTGTCTACAAGCATGGCTATCTCTTCTCTGTTCAGAGGTTTGGATAACTGCTTTACTAAATTATGAAAGTAAAGTAGCATTTTAACTGTTCAAAGTACTTTTTAAATCACTTTAAAACTTACCAGTAAAAAATACCAGAGGAAGAAAGCCCTCAAATCAACAACTTCTTAATATTATTTTTTTTTAAGTATTCCTGAAAGAAATATCTGCATTTGATCACCTATGAAAAGAAGGTATAGCATTAAAAAGGAGAGCTTTAGGTCAGATTTCAACAGAATACTATAATTTTGGTTTTAAACAGCAATGTTTGAGAAAAATACTGAAATAAGTAATTTTTAATGCCTTTAACCCATCTAAAATACGTACGGATTATTTAACAAAATTACTACAGTAAGCTGGTAGAAGAGTAATAGAAAAGTAAGATTTATTAAGAAAGCATAGATCCTGAAATCATGGTAATACTGCTAGAAAATTCAGAGACTCCCATCAGCATAGAGAGAACAGAAACTTATGCTATACCAGGCAAAAAAAATCAGATCCCCAAGAACCAGCAACTTAGATGCAGCTGTCATTATAATTTTGATTTGGCTCATTTCTTGCTATTTAACGCAATTATGTAGCTTTGGAGGATGTCTGCACATGGATCTCTGATGTTCTCTTTCAGAGCACTGCTTTAGGCTCAGCCCTGCAGAGGCAGAGCTTATGGCTCATATTTGGCCAGCTCAGAGTGCAGGCAGAACAAGATGCACGTAGCATCTCCTGGTAAACCCTGGCGCTCTCGTCCTGCAATCTGACCTTCACCAGCAAATCACAGAGCTCATACGGAGTCCCACTGACTTCAGTGAACTAACTACATTTTGGTATAAAGGTTGTTCCACACAGGTCAGACTTTGGGATCTGTAGGACTGTCAGTATTTGTGGGCTGAACTTATTCACAGAAACTGGCTCGTTCTTCTTTATGCATTTTCAACGTTGTTTGTTTTAGTGATCTTTTTTAGTGAAATAATGTGTATAAATGAATTTACTTTCTCAATTTTCAGATGTGTGGTTTTTAACAATCGGGGAATTGCTGGTGAGGATCTTTTGGTAAGGATGATTTTTAAGATTAGCATCTTGTGTATAATCAGTATATATGGAATCATTTGTGTCTATTTGTACAGCTGGATTTAAATGAGATAAACTCACAGCATATGTTGAAAATTCAGAGAAGAGGATCTAGTCATCTGGTAGATCAATCACGTGCCAATAGTCATCTTTTATTTTAAAACTCAGAGGCCAACTGGTCAACACACAATTTAAATTATTAATATCTATAACATTGAAATGAACAATCCTTACACTTTCCTTTCAAAAAATACTACAGTATCTAAAATGCACACATCCAAGAAATTCTGTTCAATCAATGCACTTTTCTCCCATTATTTTAACATACAGATCCAAATATAAGCAATTGTAACTAAAATTACTTCCCCAATTGCCAATATGAGTTTAAAATAGCTTTTGATACATTTAAAAAGTTGTGCCATTAAAATGAATCCATATTATGTGTTAGTGAATTAATGAACCACGTTTATATGGATAGCCATATCCTAAAAGCTAAATGTGTTCTTGTATTTTTCTCAGCAATTGTGACACAAACTCAGCAACAAAAGACATTTTTGTGCTTGGGGCAGACATATCATGTTTGCTTAGAAATAACTGGTGATTCCACAAATGACAAAGTCTTGAAGCTGGACATTTTCTGCAGCTAGGGACAAGGCATGATGAAATATTGCTGAATAAGCTTTGTTTCTTCATATGCGTTATGTTGACAGTTCTGCAGCTGGAATGAATGTGCATAATACTCAGTATTGTTTTGCATTTTTTAATCCTCTGGTTTCAAACTTTAAAAAGCTCAGAATATTTTCCCATAATCAGATAAAGCATTTCAATGCAAATATTGCCATGTTCAGAATAGTTTTCTGCATACTTTTGGAGATAGATCTACAAAGCAGTTTTGTGACACACAAAGTCCTTATTGATGAATTTCTGAATCATTAAGAGAAAAGATCTCTTGTTTGTATGCATTGTGTGTATTTTACTGTAATCTGATTTACATCTTTAAGCTTTATAAGATCTGTGAAGCAAACCAGCTAAAATTATCATATTTTCTGCAAAGGAGTTCCTACATTTTAATATAAAATCCCTAGTTAATGAGTTTGAAACATAGTTGAGCACCATAGTAGAAATTAGTCACACAAGTAGTTCTTTTCCTAGTCTCTTTAAAGATAGATTCAAATTTACACCAAATAATAGCTATATAAAGAATCAGTTTTAAAATGCTCTTCTCATTTGTTATTGAAAATTACTGTGAATTATTGTTATGAAATAATCAAATATTAGTTTGACCCCAGCCAATATGAGCTAAGATGGTGTTTTAAAGTATCTTCATACAATGAGTGGATAGACAGACATTAAAGTGTCAGGAATTAAATTAAAATGCAACACATGACTCTAATTTTCTAAACTTTTAATCAAATACACTTTCACTTGGAATACATTAGACCCTAGTTACCAAAAATAATTTATTTTTCCTTGGAAACCTGACAATTTAATTAAAATAAAACACTTTCAAACTGTTTATAATTAACAGGTGTAAAACAGTGAAGAGTGATTCATGTGGATGAGAACTGGAAATGCAACATAAATGGAAATCAAAAACTTCAGTTTTAATTATCCAGATTTAGCTTTTCTTTCCTTTTTTTCATCTTTGACTTCAACATTTCAATATTCTTGTTAAATGTATTTCAAGTAATTAGTTTCATCTAATTAAACTTGTTAAAATTGCCCACAAATATCCAGGCTTTTTAACTGAAAGCAATTAAAAAAAAAATCGCCCTCTTAAAAGATATTGTTGTTTCAGTCAACAGATAAGTTCAAGTAACTCATAATTAAGTATTTTTATATTTAGTATTAATTTTTATACAGAATTTTGGCAGGCCAGCCACTACCTATAGTTAAGTCAAGGTCACTAACACGTTAGTAGAAACTTTATAGTTAAAAGCTCTCTTTTGCTCTAGGTGAAATCTAGAGAACACTATTAGAAAAAGAAAAACGAACTTATTTTCTACTGTGGTTCTTATTGGACCGAAAGGAACTTTTCTCCCTTATACTGCTCCAGATAGTCCCCTAGATTGTGGCTTGCAGCACTTGTCTGCAGGTGAGGCTCAGAAGCTGTGCTTAGTCTTCAAAAGCAAGGAAGGGGTTACTGAAATCTCAGTGATGCCAGTGGAAGTCATTCCAAGTCCCAGTTAAAGACTTAAAGAGACACTGATGGTAGATGGGGAAGGGATAATATGTGTGTTTCATTGCTTCAGTTAATAGAAAAAAAAATTGTCATTATAACTTTCTTTTCTGTAAATTGCAGCCTTTATGATATGTTTCCATTTCCCCAGGGTATTTTAAAAATACCAGAGCCTATCTAGTTCTGATCTAGTTCTATCTAGTTTAGCTCATTGCTCTGTGTTCAGATTTCGTCTGATGACCTGGGGGTTGCAAATACTGAAGATACTTGTCACCTCTTTTATTTTGTAATGATAACAAGTATAACTCTTTCCTCCACCTCCTCATGAAATTTGCTGGGTTTATATTTTCCGTTTAGTGCAGTTTCACAATAAATGCTAAATTTATCTTGTTATATAAATGATCCTCTGTTCAGTTTGCTTTGTCCTTAAAGAATAATACAAAAGCTTATGGTGGCATTTTTCCCTCTGACTCCTTACAGACACCAAGGACTTACTGTGCAGCTAACACAGAGGATTTGGAGGCCGTTATTCATCATGTACACAGCCTGCACCCCTCAGCTCCGTTCATAGCAGCTGGTGTTTCTATGGGAGGGTAAGGTATTATGTAATACAAGTCTCAGCTTAACTACGATCGCAAAATAAGACTGTTGGAGACTGATGGTAAATTATTACTCTCCAATTCTTGCATTACTTACTGAACTGCAGCTAACTTGAGTCTGTCTCCAACAGTCAGTATTCAGAAGACTTTTAGAAAAACTTAATATCTTAGAGGCTTTTAGTTCTGTGTCAGAGAAGGTCAAAATTGGCCAACATTCAAAAGTTGAAGAGGGTGGAGAAAGACAGGAAACACTAATAGACAGATTAACAGCCAAACAGGTGGGCAGTACAATCTTTGGAAACTATGGAGGCTGTCTTTGGAACAGAGGGATAAAAAAATAGGAACTAGAGCTAACATACCATGTTTCTTAGCAACCTCTGGAAATTACAAGGTTTATCTTCACTCTGTTTGGGTTCTGCAGTGTGTGGGTAGGTTAAGCTGGAAGAGATGCAGGTATTTGCTCTGTCTGGCTCAGAAGCAAGAAGCAGCATTGTTGTTGAAACCAGTATGGGTTGATATAGCATGTGGTATTAAGACTTGCTGCGTCTTGGCTTCTCTCCAGAAAGTACAGCTAGAACAGACAATGACAGCACAGTTGCTTAGAAAAATCACTGCTAGAAGCTAGGAAAAATGTTTAGACAGCCTTTTTAAAGAAAATTGTAGGAGAGGAGAACTTAAACCACTAGAAATACTGCAGGCACAGTAGTAACTTCCTGAGACTTCCCTTCTTTCTGATAAATTTTATGGAGGGTAGGCAGATATAGCCCTCTATATTGACATTAATCTACTAATGACTTGTAGGAGCTTTGGGATAAATACAGATTTGCTCAAGCAATATAGTTATTGATAATCAAATAAATAATTAAATTGGAAGCCTTTTAAACCAGGCCAGTCTTTTTCCATTCGTGCTGCTGGGATTTTCCCAGTGTCTTCAGCATGAAGACATGAACCTCTCTTGTATGTCAGTGTCTGTCTTGATGGGAAGCCCAAAATTGGGCACAGTACTCCCGATTTGATTTTGTAAGTGCCAAATACAGGGAAATAATAATTTCCATAGACCTACTTGTTTTACTCTTAACAAAGCACATCATGTTGTTACCCATCTCCATTGCTGCACGGGTGCATTGCTGAGTCACGTTCTGTTTGCCCAGAAGCTGTTTTCAGCTGCCCTCTATCCAGTCATTAAGCTGTCCTAGGTGCGGGACTTTGTGTTTGCCTTTGTTGAACTTCATGAGGTTTCTGCAAGCCCATTTCTCCTGTTGAAGTCCCTCAGAATGGCAGCCCTGTCTCCCATTTCACCAGTGACCTCCCACAATTTGACCTGCAAGCTTACTAAGGGTGTGTTCCATCTCGTTATCCTGAAGAAATTACACAGTACTGGCCCCAGTACTGGCCCCTGAGGAACACTACTAGTATCTGATCAGCCACTCCAGTTGGACTTCAAGTTCCTGATCACAACTCTCTGAGCCTAGTGGTCTAGGCTGATTCATGTTGCAGGTCACCTATTCAAACCATGTCATTCCAATCTGGCTACATGGGGACCATAGACGACTGTCAGAAGCCTTACTAAAGTCAAAATAAGCAACATCCATTTCTCTCCCCTAATCAACAAAGGCAGTCAGCTCACCATAGAAGGCCATCAGGTTGCTCAGGAATGCTTTGTTCTTGGTAAATCCGTGCTAGCTGCTATCAGTCACCTTCTTTACCTTTACATGCTTGGAAATGGCTTCTAGAGGGTATTCCCAAAGCACTGAGGTTAGGCTGGCCAGCCTGTATTTCTTCCTCCTTGCCATTGTTGTCAATGGGTGCTTTTTTTTCCAGGCATCAGGAATATCCCACAGTTGCTGCAACCTTTCCAAAGTCATAGAGAGCAGGCTCACAATGACATTGGCTGCCTCCCTCTGGAGCTTTGGTGCACCTCACCTGGTCCCATTGACATGTCTGTGTCCAGTTTGCATAACTGGGGCCTAACTCCACATTCCTCTGCCATGAGTAATAATTCACTCTCCCATACTCTACCACTAGGGACCTGGGACTCCTGAGAACAGACCTCAGCAGTAAAGACAGGGAAGACAGGTAGCCTTGGCCTTTTACAAATCTTTTGTCAGTAGGTTCCCTGCTCTGTTGAATAGTGGTCCCAGGAGGGAATTAAGGCTGGTCAGCCTAACCTCAGTTCTTTGGGAAGATCCTCTGGAAGCCATTCCCAAGCATATGAAGGATAAAGAAGGTGACTGGATTCGCCAAGAACTAAGCATGCCTGAGTGAACTGATTGCCTTCTATGATGAGATGACTGGTTTCACTGATGAGGAGAAAGGAGTGGATGTTGTTTGTCCTGAGCCTTTCTTTGTACCAATGTATTTATAGAAGCCTTCCTTGTTGCAAAAGCCTTTTTCTTGTTGCCCTGCAAATCCCTTGCCAGTTCCAACTCCAGCTGAACTTTAGTTTTTTTAACTGCATCCCTGCATCCTTGGGCAATGACTGTTTGTCCCAGGCACCCCCATCCACCTTCAGGATACTTCCTTCTTGAATTCAGTAAGGAATTTTTTGTTCCTCTACATGGTCTTCTGCCACTCAACTTCCTGTTCATCAGAATGTATCACACTTGTGCTTTACGTTCAGTTATCCTTAAGGTTAAACAGTTCTCCTAGACATCCGTGGCCATCAGGGCCATCTCACATGGGATGCTGCCAAACCGATCCATGACTAAATTTAAACCAACTCTCTTCGAGTCTAGTATTGTAGTTCTGCTGCTTACCTTCCCTGCTCACTTTTGATCTTAAAAATCCACCATCAAATAATCTCAGTGGCCAAGACCAGGGAGAAGTTCTGTGCATTTGAATGACATCTTTGTTTAAGTTGCAAACCCTCCTTCTTGCCTTGAAGGCCAGTCCTTCATGAAGAGTCTGTCTGCATCTGTCATAGTGTCCTCCATGTCTCTGTGATCCGATAAACTTGTTCTGTGACTGCACACAGACTTCTAATTCCTCCTATATTTTTTTCCCCCATGCTGTGTATTTGTTCATGTGCTGGCACACAAGATGGGCCATGGTTGTGCTGCCTTCTCAGGGAAGTGTGAGAGCCTCTCCCATTAAGCTATCCCTTGAGTGCTCCATCAGGGCCTGCCAAGCCTTTGCTTCTCTTCAGGCTTTGTACTCCATCCCTTGACAAACCTAGTTTAAAACTCTTCTTCAGAAAGTTAGGAGCTGGTTAGCTCTTATCTCACTTGGCATGCTATCTCTCCCCAGCACAGACATTTTTGCATGCAGAACATGAACTAACATGATGTATTGCAAAAACTTGTTTCATTGGAATTGGTGAAAGCCAAAGAAGCATCTGCAGTAGAGGCTTGTTTCAATGAGGAGATACCGATTCAAAGCACGGTAGTTCTTTGTGGGTAACTCCATGGGTGGTGCACCATTACAGCAGAACTAAGAGGGCTGGGGTGTAGTAGATGAAGTACCAACTTTTCGGGGCTACAGGCGCAGTATAAGCTAACTGTTCTGCAACTGGTGCAAAAGACCAGTTCGGCCCTTAGTGTCATTTCTGTCCTTGGCTTAACCTAGTTATGGTATCCTAAATAGAGGCGAAGTCTGTTAGTATGGCACAGGGAATCTGAGTTTTGTTCCTGGCTTTCACTTTATCACAACCTCTGGGTGATTTTAGGCAAGATGTTCCACCTTCCTCCTCCAATACTTTTTTAAAGTCCTGAACCACAAAGAGAAAGCATGTGCTTAATTGTACAGAAAACTGGAAGAATCCCTAATCATCCATGTGGGGACTGTCTCCATGCTTCTAAATTAATTGGAGCACTTGCATGTTTAAAATTAAGCAGGAGCAGAGGTCTCACCGGGGGCATATTGTGAAAATCATCCACTTGTCTTAATCTGACAATAGTTTTTATTATCTATCCCTTTTCAAAATTTTCTGAATAGCCAGTTAATCTGTATAGGACACATTTGCCCAATTAAGAAGAAAAATCAAATTTGCTTCAGAAAGGTGTAAATGTAAACGAAAGCCCACTTGTTCTACTGATCTTCAGTACGTATTACTTTGGAAAGGGACTTTGTTTTCTAACCTAAAGATTCTTAAACCTTCTCTCTACCACATATATTCTGAGAATTCTGTTAGAGAAGTGGCTTATTCTGCTACTGCAACTTTTTTTTAGTTTGCTTATGTTTTAGTTTGCTTTAGTTTGCAGTGTTCTTACAGTGTGTAGACTGATGACTCACAGGCTCCTTCTCTTCTGTGGGTGAGAAGGAACATATGCTACCGAACTCCTATGTGTGCCACAGGTGACTTTCCTCATTGGGTTCAATTGTGGGAGCTGACGGCAGGAGCCCACTCCCAAGTGCTGTTTGCTGTTCTTTTCCTGCTGGTTCCTACCAACTGGCAAGTTTCCCTTTTACACTGATGTCCTATGATCTGGTAGGTAGTGCACAGGGATAAGGTCTCAGTGATGGAAGGCTGGTTCATTATGTCTTTGCTAAAGGTTGCTGTCTCCTGAAGTATGGTAGATGAAGCCAAGGTACAGAGAGTTGGTGGTCCAGGGAGCTATATTAAGCTGTAGAACTTGTAATGTTTTGAATTAAAGGCTCGGTATTAAAATGATAAGGCAGTAAAGTGAGACTTACAGCTTTTCTGTTAGTGTTTTCTTCTACTGACTTCCTGCTGTTTTGATTTTTCTATATCTGAAGGGTCAGGTACTAGTGAACTCTCCCCTTTTTTCAACTTAACTATATATCAGCAGTAGAGACTGTAAGTTGCAATTGGTCAGAAAGGCCAGACTTAAGCCACTTATTTGGCTTATAATTTTGTTTTTCTAGTTTTATTCATTATCCAACACTTCATTCTTTAAGTACCTTGTGTTAAAGAACAGCTCTGTTTTCTCATATGTGTGAGGTGGGGTAAAGCCATTACCTTCAACTCAGATGACAGCTTCATCGTGAGGCAGGCATGGCAGGGGCAGCTTGCATTTGTCAGGCACGCGAATCAGATTTATCAGATCAGGAAGACCAAGAGCTTGTAAAACAGTAAAACTTACTAACAACTTGGCAATACCTGTTCCATGAGTAAGATATGTTTATTTGACCTTTTTCTCCTTTTTAGTGATATAAATAAGACTAGTACATCTCTATTTATTTCTAAAGGCACTCCTACCCACATCCTACACAGTGCACTAAGTTCCTCCCTGACTGTAGAGAGAGAAAGCAAATTTCATGAGTCATAGGTTGATTATCTTTTAGAATTATTAGGCATAACTGTAGGGCTGATACAAGAAACTATTGAAAAACAGACAAAAAGGTGGCCGATTGTTATATTTGCTTTAAATTGAAGCAAACAATTTGATAGTATATATGTTTCTGTTTTTCATTTCTGTTTGTAGCATGCTTCTTTTAAATTACCTGGGCAAAACTGGCAGAGACACTCCTTTAATGGCAGCTGCGATTTTCTCTGCGGGTTGGAATGTTTTTGAATCTGTAGCATCTCTGGAGAAGCCACTAAACTGGCTTCTTTTCAACTATTACTTGACTACTTGTCTACAATCCTCTATCAACAGGTGAGTTGCCTTCGAAACTATTTAGCAAGGTAGAAGGATGTTAGCATGAGATCGACAGCAAGTATAATACTGGCAAAATTTATGCTGTAACAACACTTCACATAGCTGTTCTGTGTGCATTCTTCTGTAAATTTTGAAATCAGAAGGATCTTTGTAAAAAAGATTGTCATCAATGTGACTAAATTTATTTGCTCCTCAAGGGGCTCATTACAAAATCAATGTACTTCTATATTTATGGATAAAGTTAATGGATTTTTTAAGTTTTACACTTGTGCATACTGACTTTGAGTATATATGTATGTACACTAATTCTTTTAAGTCTACCTTGACAGCAAAAGCATGGAAGGGACTAGTTCATCCTTTGCTTTGCAGAATTAGGGCGTATTTTGTATTCCCAAATATTTAATTCACTTAAATTCTCTTATCTTTGGCATCTTTCTTATGGCTCATGCAGATTTTTTTCTATGTTACTGGATGTGCCTGCATATGAATGAACAGTTCTTCTGTTCTTGGATTACAGACAGATTTTTAATGACAGAAAATTAATCCCAAGCATGTTCTTTTTAGGGAGTTATTTCTATAAATATATTTATAAAGCAGAAGACTTTTACATCTGTTTATATAATTAAAACAAGCCCTCCAATTTTTCACTCTCTTTTTAGGCATCGAAAAATGTTGGAGAAATTATTTGATATGGATCTTGTGATGAAGGTATGTGAAAATGTTACTTCTGCTTTAGCTGGATGCTGTTTTCCAAATGCTGACATAGTTCCCTATTTGAATTCTGTACTTCAGGCCAGAACTGTTAGAGAATTTGATAAGCAGTTCACTTCAGTCATGTTTGGCTACCCTACGATTGATGATTACTATGAAGATGCTAGCCCATGTCGCAAGCTGAAGTCAGTAGGAATTCCAGTGTTATGTCTAAACTCTGTGGATGATGTTTTCTCACCAGGTCATGGTAAGTTTAGGCTTTTTTAAATATATTTGTCTGTGTATGCAGTCATTAAGACAAACTATATAGGTCTGAGAATGAACTCAGACCTATGTTTGGAGGTGTATTTAAATGTTAATTGTGTATAGGATCAAAACCTCCAGGGATGGATCAGTCTTTCAATTTACTTACAGTGTAAGACACATATAAACCAGCTGATGACGGAGAGACCTGATTAGTACAGAATGCAGAAGCACATGGGGTAGCAATCATTAGCGATTAGTAGACTCTATACAGTCAAAAGAAAGAAATATCCACATTCAGGGTGTGAGTTGTCACTGTAAGGAAAGCACTGCCCTCTCAGAAGCACCCATTTCTATTCACCAGGTATGAAGAGAGCCTATAATGAGGAACTCTGATACAGATGTAGACATTCAGAAAGTGCAAACAAGTATTTTTTATTGCTGTTTTTTCAATCCAGTCTCTACAAAGAATGTCTGGGAGTTGATTATGTTTCAGATGACTTGAAATCCTCAGCTGTTGCTCAGTGCTATCTCCAGTGTCTGAAAATCAAAAGGAAGAAAACATTAAGTTAGCATGTAGACCAAATTCTAGGGTAAGGGAAGAGATATAGACAAGGTGAGCTCCTAAAAGGAGTCATGTTGAAATTAATAAGAATCTAACTAGAAGATGAAGCAGATAAGGGAAAACCAAGTTTTCAGCCTTTCTTCCTATTTTCTGCCAAACACGTGTTCATTATGAACATTTTGTTTTTGATCTGAAGATCAATGCTCTGTTGGTAACTGTCTTTAAAAGGGATGCTTGTTCCTGTAGTCTGTGTATTGGTTAGAGTGTCTGAGAAGAGAGGGAGAACAAAAGTTAAGGTAGGGGAAAACCACTATAATGAACAGCTGGTTGAGGGGACAGTCTTCAGCAGTGAACACCTGACACTTTTAAATACGAAGTTCATACACTTGATTTACTTTAGGGAAGTTTTCTTCTGCCACCACAAGTCAAGTGAGACTCTTGTAGAATGAGTCACAAAACCAAAGTGAGTAGGCAAACAGAGTAGAACAACAAACAGAAGAATGAAAGAACTGGAAGAGACTGTGTATGCATGTACTGTTTATCTGTGCACGCGTGTATAACACGTACAGAAACACACACACTCTCACACACTTACATTACTATTGATAATTCAAAGACCTGTTAGAGACAAATGTGACATGAAAAGAGCCACTCAAGTAGAGTGCACTAGAAAAAGTCTGATTTCTTCCCCCCTTGAACAAAAAGTATCCATACTATGCATGAACAATATAAAGAGGTGGCAGCCACCTAATATGAGGGAAAAATTGTGATGCTGGATTAGCCAAACTACCTATCCCTTATATTGGCCAAAACAGAGGCTTAAAAAAATTAAGATCTGGGCAAACATAGCAGTACTCCTCCAGAATGCTGCATCCACCTTCAACAGTTTGCAGTTCAGGGACTTTCTGAGACAGGGTTAGTCCCTTTTGTATTTACTAGCCCCTGTGAGATTATTTTTCCACCCCCCCTTGAAATTGGCCAGTTGCTCTGTCCATTATAAGCATATAACGCCCTGGAAATGAGAATGGATGGGGCTGTGACCCTAAAATCTGTGTCCAAATATAAATTCTGGCTAGTGATTCTGAAGATCAGTTTTTATGGGTCTTATGACCCTGGGGATGATTTTCCCTGTAGTACCACAAGATGGGTAATCTGCTGTGCCATGAGAGAGGGAACAATGCCTTCACTTCTATGTTTAGCTCTAGCTCAGTTTGTGGTTTCTGTTCTAAAGTGAAGTAGTAACTGTGGCAGGACTAAGCTAGCTAGTTAGCAAAAGCAGCAATAGCAGTGAACCATAGTGTGTGCCTCTGTCCCTAGAGGGTTCATTAACCTTTTCCAGCCTATTACCACTGGGACTATTAGGACCTTTGTTAGCTAGATTAAAGCTACTGCAGATACTCCATCCCCTTGTCTCTTCTTTTTAGACTATAACCTCCAGTTCTCAAGAGCCAACCATTGACACTGACACCATGAAATGCAATCTGAACACAAGAAAACACTTTTTTACTGTGAGGATGGTCAAACACTTTTGACTTTACTCTGGCAACTGGCTTGTTTTTCTGACTTAAGTGTGTGGTCACATGTAAGCCTGTGGCAACCAGAGGCAGTTCCCACTCACAACTGTATAATGGAATCAAAGCCACAATGTTTCTTCTCAACTAGACCCCCAGTCTTTTATTGACTTTGGGGACTGGTTATTTCATGCCTCATCTCTCCTAGTAATACTTCCACCTCTGTTGTAGATAGCCGTAGTTTCCGACAGCTGGGAAAGAGGCCTAGAAAACTCATTAGGCAGAAAGCTGTGCCAGAATCCCTTTGTGTTTAAAAATCTTTTATAAAGCCAGCCACATCTATCTTCCTATAACAGAGCTTAGAGAATGCAAACCCAGGTCTGCTTTGTCACTACAAAATACGGACCTAAAGAGACACTTTCCTTAAAAAGCGCAGATGCTGTTTCTGTTGCCTCTTACTGCTTGATCATTACTTCCCATGTAGCTTTTTAATACACTTTGTACTTCCCAGCAATTATTTTTCAATATAGTGCGAAAATGTGCCCTTTGATCTCAATCCAGTATTAGGAAGAAACAATTCATTTGCAGTCCTTCCTTAACGTTGCTGTTTAAAGTTCATAGAGCTTGGCAGCCGATACAGCTGTAGTTTAATTCTGGAATGCAGTTCTCATATTGCGTAATACTAACTAATGAAAACAAATGCTTTCTTCATTGCATGATACTTCTCTCACCATAACTAATTTAAACAAGCCATTGCTTCAGGAAATATGTAATATAACCAAGTCAAGCCCTTTTTTTTTGTAAATATGAAAAGTAAATTAAGAAGATAGAATTGTAGCATTCATTATCAGTGTCACATTTAACTTTTCATCTGAAGTGGCATTTTTCTCCTGAGAGACTTTAAGCAGCATATTAGGCATCCAACTTAAATTTCACTATAGTTATGCTTAGCTAATTGCCACTGGTAAGTGTTGTGCCCAAGCAGAAAGCCTGCCCTTGAAGCTAGGTACCATGCCAGCTTGCTCCTGATCCACCGTGTCAAACAAATGCATGTCTGAAGCTCAGTTATACTTTTTATTGAACTCTCTGAACCTTTTCTCTCCCTCTGAATCCAAACTTGGGGTAATTGCCTTTAAGTGTTATTTTGCATCCTATTATGTAAACAGCACAGTTGAATGAAGTTGTCTGGAGAGACCAAATGGCCAAGGAACGGCCAGATGGATAAAAATTAGGGTAAGAGTTTAAAGAACAGGGAGAAATCCACCAAACAATGGAACAGAAAGTCTGACAGCAGTGACTTATTTAAGCCAATGCTGCTTCACTTGTATGTTTTTCTGTTTTTCTTTTTTTTTTAAAAAA